AGGAACCCCAGGCCCCTGAGCAGGGACAGGTCATCTGTGGCTGGCCTGTGTGACCAGAGCAGAGTCAGAAACTAAGGTTTCAGGCAGGTGAACTAGGCTGCCTACTCTGCTTGTTCAGAGCTGCTGGGCTCTGGACCTCCTTTCCCAGAAGAGACAGCTGCTCTGGGCCAGTCATCTCCCCTCCACCGAATGCCTGCCTCAGGCCCGATCGAGGAACAGGACAGTACCAGAGGAGGAGGTGAGAAAGGGTTGTATTCTGTATATATTTTAAAGGTGGAGCTGGCAGGATTTGCTGACATCCTGGATGGGGTAGCAAGAAAAAGGAATCTAGGGTAACTCTAGGGTATTTGGGGCTGAATAACTGGAAGAGCAGGAACATTAACCAAGATAGGAAGGCCAAGAGAGGAGTACAGTCATGTGCTATATGATGATGTTTTAGTCAATGATGGACCACATATATGATAGTGGTCCCATAGGATTATAATGGGGCTGAAAAATCCCTATCCCCTTGTGATGTCATAGTCATCAAAAATAGTACCGCAGCACATTACTTTTTCTATGTTTAGATACGTCTAGATTCACAAATACTTACCATTGTGTCACTGTTGCATACAGTATTCAGGACAGTAACATACTGTACAGGTGTAGCCTAGGAGCAGTAGGCTGTACCATATAACCCAGATGTGCAATACGCTAGACCACCTATTATATGTTGGGTCAATTGGATCTATTTTTTATTTTTCAATGTAGTCTCCCATAATTTTAATTTCTTTTCTGTATTAGATACCTATTGTTGCATAACAATTACACCAAAACATAATGGCTTAAAACAACAACATTCATCATTTCTCACTGTGTCTGTGAGTTAAGAATTTTGGAGCAGCTTAGTTGGGTACAGTAAAGGTGTCAGGGCTTTAGTCAATTGAAGGTTGCACTGGGACCTGAGTATTTGCTTCCAGGTGTCTCAAGTTACAAGGCTGGCAAGTTGCTGGTGGCCTTGGGTAAGAGACCAAGTTCCACTCCATGTGGGCTTCTCTATAGGGCTAATTGTCTTTAGAACATGCTGGCTGGCTTCCCTGGAAGGAGTAATGCAAAGTAATCCAGAAGCTTGTCAATGGAAAAAAAAAAGCCAAACTCTGTAAAACAATTTTAAAGAGATTTACTCTGAGCCAAATTTGAGGACCATGACCCAGAGCCACGCCCAAGAAGCCTTGAGCAAGTGGACTCGGTGTGGTTGGGTTACAGTTTGGTTTTATACATTTCAGGGAGACAGGGGTGACAGGTAAAGTCATGAGTCAATACATGGGAGGCATACATTGGTTTGGCCTGAAAAGGTGGGCCATCTCGAAGTAGGGGCTTACAGGTTATGGGTGGGTTTGAAGATTCTTTGGCTTGTAATTGGTTAAAGACATGAAGCTTTGTCTCAAGGCTTGTAATGTTTCGACATAAGGAGCTGTTTATCAGAGATAAGTCATCGGACATAGATTTGTTGTGTAAATCGAAGACTTGCAGGTTTGTCTTGCATACCCTTAGGCCTGTTAACGGGTTACAAAGGATGTCTCCAAGAAGGGAGGGGGGCATGATGAGGCATGTCTGACCTCCCTCCTCCTAGCAGGCAATTTAGTTTAAGGATATTCCTTTGGCCACGAGGGGGTCCATTTAGTCAGCCGATGGGGGCGCGGGTGGGGGGCAGGGTGAGCCTTAACATTTTATTTTAGTTCACATTTACTGATGTTATATCTTACATAAAGTTTGTGAACTAAAAATAAAATCCTTAGCCTCCTGATGACTGAACAGACCCCTCTCTGCGAAGCAGATCCCAGAGAAACCTTAAAACTGAGTCCCAGTCATGAGGAGATGGGAGGTCAGACACATCATTTCACCCTCCCTCACTAATAGCCATCTGGCTTTATTTCCTAAGGGTGAGACCAGCATTCTTTCCTGATAAAAGACCACCAACCATGAAATAGTTTTAACACTACAGAACATGCACAGAGAGGATTTTTGTGTTTCACCTTTATTTTTGAGATAGGGTCTCACTCTGTTGCCCAGGCTGGAGTGCAGTGACCTCATCATAGCTCACTGCAGCCGCAAACTGCTAGATTCAAGCAATCCTCCCATCTCCGCCTCCCAAAATGCTGGGATCACAGGCATGCGCCACAACGCTGGGCTTACTTTTTTTTTTGCTTTTTTATTGTTCGTTTTTCTTTCCCATTTTTTCCCGGTTTTTTTTTTTTTTTCATTGAATTCCTCCCGCATTAGACTGTCAGCTCCGTGAGGATGGGGATTTTTGCTTGTTCACTGCCGTGTCCCCAGAGCCTACAACAGTGCCCAACACAGTAGGCACTCAATAAATGGCAAGAGAAAGACAGTTTAAGGCGGAGAAAGAAGAAACAGAAAGGAAGCCAGCTTTTAACCCCACACACCCCCGCTCCTGGGGGGCTCTGCCAGCTCGGTTTCCCCAGCTCTGCTCTTAAGAGCCCGAGCAGGGACCAGCCGCTGCGCGTGCGCACCTCAGCCCCGCCCGCCACGCGCGCCGGCATGGCGAGCTGAGCCTGCGCAGTCCGAGCCGGCTCTCCAAGGCCTCGGGCGGGACCGGTGGCTGGGCGGGTGGTGAAACAGACGGCCTCAGAGGGCTCAGCTGGTCCAGATTCTGGTTCCGAAGGCCCTCGGGGTGGAGGTGGAGCAGCAAAGACTCGCAACCGAGTGGCCTGTCCGACTGCCGGCCGGCGACCGGAGCGAGCAGTCCCAGGATCCTCTGCGCCACGCCGGCCCGGACTCCATTTCCCAGCGGCCCCTGCTGCCTGCACGAGCGCCGCGGCGCCTTTGTGAGCGCGGCCGGCGGCCAGAGACAGCCCGGCCCTGGCCAGGCCCGCCGACCGCGCCGAGGGGGTTGCCCGCCGACAGGGAGGCGGCGGTGAGGAGGGCAGTGGCGGGCGCGCCTGCCGGACAGAGCTGGCGCCGGGAGCGGCCGTGCCACCGCGTGTGAGAAAGTGTGTGAGGACGTGTGTCACAGTGAGAGCCCGTGCCTCCGAGTGTGAGGGAGCCTGTGACAGAGTGTGGCACCGTGCGAGACTGACCATTTGAAACCGTGTTTGAGAATGGGTGACAGTGTTAGACTGTAGCACTGTGTGGACCGTGGGAGACCGCGTGGGAACAGTATGACAGACTGTCATCGTGTGCATGACCCGTGTGGGGGACTGTTCGACAGTGTGTGAGAGTGTGTCACAGTGTGGGTGACTGTGTGAACGAAGTTCGGATCGTATGAGGCTGTGGGACAGGATGAGACCATGTCACGGTGTGTGATGGTGATTGTGTGTGAGCAGTGTGTGACTGTTGGGTGTGGGACCGTGTGACAGTGTGTGAGACCATGTCACTGTATGGGACTGTACGTGACTCTGTGTTGTGGGACCATGTGAGACCATTTGACAGTGTTTGAGGATGTGCTTGGTGGCGAGAGGGAGAGTGAGTGTGACTATGAAGCTGACAGTGTGTGTGATTGTGTGAGGTTGCGTAACTTAACACTATGTGTCATCCTGAACGTGACAGGGTCACCCAGAGTGGCCTTTTATGACCCCTCGTGAGTGGAGGGTGGGCTATAGTGTGGGACCATGTGCGCAGGCTGCCAGGGAGTGCCGGCATGGAGGCTCGCGTGGTTCGTCTGTCCGGTTTGTGTGGGGGGCGGGAGGCTGCGTTGGTGCCTGGGGAGGCCAGTGGCTCTGGGGTTTAGGAGACTGTTGTTGGGGAGAGACAGATTGAGCTGAAGAGGAAAAGACGGAGAGGGGGAGGGGAGAAGAAGAGGGGAAGAGAGCTGGAAAAAGAGCAGAGAGCTGGAGAGGGAGAAACTGAGAGGGAAGCCCTAGCCTTAGGCCTGGAAAGCAGACTGGGTTGCTGGTGTACAGGGAAGGTCTTTCCATTCCTCTCTTAGTCTCTCGGGCCTGTGAGGAATTGAAGAGGAAAAAGGAAAGGGAGACCCACTAGGTGTTCTTTCTGAAAATAAGTGACTGATGATTAAAATTTATTTAACACAAAGAATGTGCCAATCACTGTGCTAAATGCTTTATTTAGGTCATTTCAGGATTCTCCCAACATTTAATAGGGAATAGTTACCATTTCACTGGTAGGGAAACACATTTGGAGTGGTTACCTCACTTGCCAAAGGTTGCATAGGTAGTGAGTGGTGATGGATCAGGTGTTTGAGCTCAGGTGTTCTAATCCCCAACTAGTGGTTCTTACCACTAAGTTATGCTGCTGCTTAAGTAGTGGCTTTATTTTTCAAGGCATTGAAGTATAGTGGAAAAGAACTCGTGATTTAAAGGTTCTGATGACTGTTCATACATAGCTTGCCCTTCCTTCCCCTCCCCTTCCTCTCTCTTTCTCTCTGATGAAATCGCTAAGAAGAAAAGTCAAGAGATTGGTGTTCAGGTGGAGTTTGTCATAGCCAGGACCAGAAGCAGGTGTCTTGACTCTTTGGTCCAGTGTCCTCCAGACCACATGGCCCCTCTGATATCCACTCTGTGTAAAGATGCTTTCTCTGAGGCATTCAGTTTGTCGCTTTATGTCTCATCCTTGCAGAAATGGGAGGGTACATATTTCCTTTCAACATCATTATCTGCTGGAAAGACTAAAAAGTCAGACCTGGTTTCCATTTTGGCTCAATTACTTCTCACCTTGGATAATTTCACCAATGAACAGGCTTCATTTGTAAAAGAGGGAAGAATCCCTACTTGGTAATGTCATTCTGTAATTGTTGTTAATGTTTATAAATGAGAAATAATTTATGCACAGAAAATGTATATTATATTGTTAAGACCTAAAGCACATGGGGAAAAGAATTGTAAATTTAGATATGAATGACTTGTTCAGTGACTCTTCTAATCTGCTTATGTGGTACAGGGAGAAGGGGAAAGAAAAAGAAAGGAGGGTTTCTAGGCAGCTGATACTGGGAGCTGCAGGGCAGGCCTGGCATTTTATGGTTTTGTTTTTTTTTTTCTCTTCTCCAGCTTTACTTTCTCAGGATACTACTCTTAGAAAGGAACCTGAAGGAGGAGGACAGAAAAACTGTCATAAATTCTTAAAGTCTTAAAGCCATGTCCAAGGTAAGGAAGTGTTTCTTCTCTCTTCCTTGATACCCAACTGATATTTCAGGTTATGTGAACATTTTGCTGTTCTTCCAAATTCCCCAGCCTAACAAAGGTCCATTCATCCATTGATTTACTTGCTCCTCATGTCTTCCTTTTCAGTAAAAGAATGTCCCAGAAAGCCCCGCTATCTTCCTTTTTTTCCACAGGAAGCATTTTCATCTTCATTCAAGAAATAGTTCAGTACCTCCTATATGTTCAGTGTTAGGAGCTCTTGAGAGGCAAAAATACACTCTTTGGTGGGATATGCAAGCCTTCATTGTGGTAACTTGATTCATTGAGGTCAGGGTCTATGTTCGGATGTAAATGCTAGCATAGAGCTTTTCTACAGACCTGGGTTTGAAAGGAAGGCAAGACAGGTGGGTAGTCTTAATCATAGAATATGGCAAGGTCTTGCTCGACTCGAGGTGATTTTGAGGAATGGGATGTGTTGGGTCTTGTGTATTAAAGTGTGGATCAGCTATAGTAGGGATATTTCTAGGCATTCTGTGGGCTTTGAATAGTAGGATTCCATGGGAATAATGAGGTCCTATTTTAGGGACGGGTTGAGTTAGTAGCAAGCCATGGTTATGATATTCTAGGTCATCCAGTTAAGATTAGTGGAATTAATATGGAAGAATAGCGAAACACTTTCTGAAAAAAAAAGAGTAATGAGGAGCAGAATCTACATTTTTTAAAAAAGCTACATCAATCTTTAATAATGAAAGCAGTAAATGGTGTGGAATGGGAGCCAGAAGAAACATGAAAAGATCAGCATATAATGTTGAGAAACAAATGCAAGTATAAGAATTCCATAAGAATGGAAAATGTTTATTCATTCACTAAACACGAAGTTATTACAGACTGTGTATTAAGTGCTGTGGTAAATAACAATAGCCACTGTCTTTGTCTTCATAGAATTGAGTGTCTGCTAGTTTGCTTATTATGTGATAATATACTGATATTATTTTAAACAAGCTGGGAAGGAATAGATTATTCATTTAGAAAAAATAATTTTCCTCATACTCAGAAGAAAATACATAGAGGTTAAATCTATAGGTTATATATAAAAAATAAAACCACATAAACTGCTAAGTAAAAATACAGAGAATGGTTGTAAAGAGGAAGATGCAGGAGTCAACTAGTGTGGCGCTGTCCAATAGAACTTCCTGTGATGGCTGATGATAGAAATGTTCTATATCTGCACTGTCTAATGCAGTAGTCGCTAACCACCCGTGGCTGTCAAGACTTGTATGTGCTGGTGTGACTAAGGAACTGAATTGTTAATGTTGATTGATTTAAATGTAAATAGCCAGCTATTATATTGGACAGCACAGACCTAGACTTGTAAGATGTAAAGTGAGAATTAGCTGGGTTGTGGTGGCATGTGCCCATGGTCCCAGCTATTCAGGAGCCTGAGGCATAGGGATCATTGAGCCCAGGAGTTTGAGGTTACAGTGAGCTATGATGATGCCACTACACCCTAATCTGGGCAACAAAGCAAGACTCTGTTTCCAGAAAAAAAAAAAAAAAAGATAAAGCCAGGAAGAAAATTATGGATGATCTTGTCCAAATTACTCATTTTACAAATGAGGAAAAAGAGGCCAAGGGAGGAAAGTGACATATCCATGTCACTAGTCGGTGACTGAGTCAGATGTAAGAAGTTGTAATATACATTGAGGGCCAGTAACATAGATGTTGAGTGATGATTTGAAGAGCGTGGGAGAAAATGAAGGAGGATACTTTGAAGAGACTGTGATGGGGCCCATTCTTTCACTCCCCTGCCTAGAAATGTCACTGGTTTCTCATCTTACTTGGAATAAAATTCAGTGTCCTTACCACGGCCTATAAGGCCCTGTGTGCTCCAGTTCCTGACTACCCCAGACCTCATTTTCTACAGGTCTTTACCTTTCTCTTCTCCAGTTACACTGGTGAACTTGCTGTTCCTCAAACTAGCCAAGCTCCTTCCTGTCTCTGAACTTTTGCATTTGCTCCTCCCTTTTGTGAAATTCTCTTCCCCCTACATGTTGGTATGGCATGCGGACCCACTTCACTCAGATTATCGTTCAAACATTAGCCCTTCCTTAGGCTTACTTTGACCATCTTATCTACAATTAACACCCCTGTCACTTTCAGTCACCTTTTACCTTCTTTTATTTTCGTCACAGTATTTAACACTACCCGACATTGTATTACCTTATGTTTAATGTCTTTCTCCTCTGTTAGAATTTTAACTTCACAAGGGCAGGAACTTTGTTTTGTTCTTCTTTGTATTCCCGACACTTAGAATAGTGCCTGGTAGGTAGTAGACAGTTAGTCAACATTTGGCAGAGAAAAATATGAATGAATAAAGGAATGAATTCCTCATCTGTGAGTGAGATCAGGACAGCAGGAGCCAGCCACTTCTTCTTTTCTGCCCCTGCGTTGATAATGGAAGAAGGAAAAAATTGAGGGTATGATATATAAAATAGATAGAGCCCATGGGCTCAAGCTGTTCCTAGGACCCCACCCCAGAATTCCTGAATCACAGTCTCCGGTGGTGGGTCCCAGGAAAACATTTTTATTGAATTTCCCAGGATGGTTTTAGTGCTCATCTTTTGAGAACCTCTGCTTCTAAAGATTATATTTAAAGTATGCTTGTTGTAAACAGCATTTACTTCATTGTTTTTTAAAAATCTAGACTGATAATCTTGGTCTTTAAATTAGTTTTTAGTACATTTTCATTTAATATAATTATTTATAGATGTGGCTTAAACCTACTGTATTTCTATTTGTTTTCCATTTATTCTACCGGCTCTTTGTTCCTTTATTTCTCCTTTTTTGCCTTTGGTTAAATCAGGTATTTTCCTTTATTATGTTATTAATTATACATAATTTTTATTCTTTCAGTGGCTACTCTAAGATAACATGCATCAATTACTCATTATGTAATAATCTTTCTTGCTTCTGTAATCTTCCTCTGTATTAGTATTCTTACCACTTCCTGAACAGGATAAGACACATAGTGATTTAACTCCAAGATATTCTTACTATTATATTTAGTTTATAGTTAACTGTTTTGGGACTTTTAATTTCTTCCTGTGTTTCTATGCTTCCATTTTCCTTCCATTTTCTTTCAGTTTCCTTCTACCTGAAGAACTCCTATTAGGATTTTCTTCAGTGCAAGTCAATACTTTACTCCCACTCTAAATTATTTTTTCATGAGTTTCTGTTCTTGCTGGGTCAAAATACTGTAATTTAAAATTTTTTGTAAGGGTAAGTAAGTTTGGGAAATCCTGGTTTCATTGGAGAGAAGAACGTATAGAAATTTATTTTAAGAAAATAATTAGAGACCTTTGCAGAATCTTGAAAAATAAAGGTTCACCTAACTGAAAATAAGCATGGGGTTATTAAATAAGAGATGTCATATATATACCATGTAATTTTATCCAGCCAACAAAAGTGATGTCACAGATACACATAATCATAGACATATCTGTATAGGGAAACATTTGGACAAATATATACTAACTTAATTGTGATTGCTTCTAGGAGATAGGGTTACACAGGGGGTTAGGTGTGGAGGTAGAAGATTTCCAATTCTTTAACTTAAAAAGGAAAAAAGTCACTGAGGGTAGAAATACTGCTCATTATTTTCTAATTTTCTTTAATGATGACAATCGTATGTATATTTTTATCAAATCAAAATAAACATTAAAATATTCAAAAAGTATTCAGGTCTCATCGGCTGAGAGGAAAATGTCAGACATTCAAAACCTGGAATCCATTAGTTCATGTGTGCAGCTAAAAAATGTCTTTTAAGAACTTTACCTAGCAATTTGCTTCATTCCTGGGATCCTGGAGGCCACTGCTGAACTAGGCATTAACCTTCAGTTGCTGGATTGTGGGGAAATCTGGTGTAGTCACTAGCAGGACTCAGTGTAGTAGCTGTTTACCAACCAGTGTGGGGGTATTTCAATATTTAACAAATCAGTACAGCTGTTTAGGTGTATACCATTGAATGCTATCTCTGTGTCAGCCTAATGTAAGAGCAAGCCTTGCTCTGTGACATACCAAAGCTAAGGAGCACTTACCACACCACACAGCAAGCCCTGGTAAGTGTAGACCAGATTTATCTTGGTAGGAAGAACACCCATTTTGAATTTTTCGGGAGCAAATGAAGTCTTGTTCCGTGTTATCATAAAGGTCCTTAATTGGATATGCAGTAGTATTATTCAAGAGCTGTATTATAACATTTTAAAAACTCTCTTGCTCGTTAGACATGCACAATTGTGTATGTTCCTCTAGTGAGAGCTGTATTTTTTGATACATTTTATCATCAGACTTTGAAATGTTCACTAAATTAATAGTACTTAAAATTATTGTCTCTCAGGTAGCATAATAAGTTACCAACTATCTTTGAAACTTAGTGGGATTATGAAGAGCTGTTAGATAAACTTTTATTACCCCTTACACATTGAGTCTCAGGACAATTTTTATTTGCAAAGGAAAT